TTACCTGATGAAACCTGTGAACTCCTGTGAAGCTGGAGCAAGCTCATCGAGCCACAATATTGAAACTGTCAATTCACGAAAAGGCTCTCTAGATGGGTCTGACACGTTGGTGGGAAGTAGCAAAAGTGTCCCTCCCCCTCCTCCGTCGCCGAACTGCGCCGAGTTTTTATTGACCCAACATTTCTGATTATGCCTGCCAGTTAATCCATGCAAGATTAGGAAAGAAATCAATGTAGTCTGATTAGTTTATTTATTATATACCATAAGGAGCACATCAACTTTCGCAGAAAAATTTTTCGTGGGCCATTATGCCTTTGAGTTCTACTGCAACCGTGAATAGCGTTCGAATTCATGGCTCATACCCATGGCGGAGCCGATCGGCACCGATTGCTTGAGCTCCTGTTTTGCACAAGTAAAGGGTGATTTTAAAAAGCATTCAAGTGGCCAGTGTAGGGAACATCTCACACCTAATCATAAAAGAAACGGTATTCCGTCAGTTCGTAGTAGTACACTCTCACTCCCAGCACTGCTCACAACGTCCTGTATCCTGATTGTGTCTGTATTTTGAAAAGCTTTTTCGGTCCGGGGTCGCTCAGGATCTAATCCCCTTGAAGGCAAGTGGCGCGATAACTCGGCAAGGCGTACAGGATCTGCATGCTTAGCACGGAGGAATATTGTGTCGCAGGCGCTTCGTGGCACCCTTTCCAACCAAGAGCACCGTCATAGCGCCTAACCAAGGTGCCATATGCCGACCCGTACGCCCACCGCAACCGCCCGCCCACAAATGGCCGGACAGTCACGTAGATACAGTACTCTCATCGCTTCGTTCATGAAGTGCGATTGATATGAAGCGTTGCTACGCGCATATATGAATACGGGGATTTGGCCATGGACGGATATCGAACATAAGATACTCGCTCCAAATGGCAGCTGATTGTCCAAGGCAGTGTTCAGACTTCGCGATGCGCTACCATTACAACAGCGATCCAGTGTTACAAGCGGGAGCGCAGCCATAGACTGGTATCCGTCGGCGCCGACCGATACTGGCTTTGAGAGACTCTGGGAGAAGAGGAGGGTTTCCTCCGTACTCTCCCGAAACACCGGCAACCGGGCCGGGGCATACCAGACAGCGGCTACGCGTACCCTCTTGATCCCCACGCTCTCTCAAGCAGTAGCGGCCGGTGTCGATCGATACTCATCTAAGGCTGTGTTCCCGCCTGTAGCATTAGAGCGCTGTTGTTAATGGTAGCGCGTCGACGCGCGTTATCGCGACATCTGACGCTGCCTGATTCGTTCTGTCAGAAAATGAATGAATGCTTTGCACTCCAGACGTCGACACGGATTAACAACAATGGCTTTATACGGTGTACCATACTGAAGGGGAGATCATTCGAAGTACATAGGTAATGACTGATGGACAGAAAAGCGCAAGAAACGGTCAGTTCTCATCAACAAATACTACTGTACTATCAGCTGAAGCAGTACCACTTGGATTTTTCGCCGTGCATCGATAGGACTCAGTAGCCACCAATGGATCGGCTACCACCAAGAGGTCGCCGTTCGAAAGCACCTGCAAATGTATAGAAGAAATATACAGTCGTCATCCGGGCA